GAAAAGCCGCCGCCTCTGCCGGGCGGTCACGACCTTGGCGACCAGCTGTACTACACGGGCCCGAGCCATTCGTTTGAGAGTGGCGATGAGCTCGTGCACGGCCAGCAGGGCGAGGTCGTCGGCCCTGCGACCGAGGGCACACGCCAAGGCAACGGCCTGGTGATGCTGTTTCCAGGGAACAAAGGCCACGTAAACTGCTATCTGTCCCGGCTCAGCGTCGAAAAGCCGCCGCCTCTGCCGGGCGGTCACGACCTTGGCGACCAGCTGTACTACACGGGCTCGAGCCATTCGTTTGAGAGTGGCGATAAGCTCGTGCACGGCCAGCAGGGCGAGGTCGTCGGCCCCGCGACCGGCGCGCACCAAGGCAACGGCCTGGAGGTGCGGTTTCCAGGGAACATAGGCTCCATAAACTGCTCTCTGCCAAACCTCAGCCGCGAGCAGCCGCCGCCTCTGCCGGGCGGTCACGAGGCCGGCGACCAGCTGTACTACACGGGCCCGAACAAGTCGTTTAAGTCTGGAAACAGGCTCGTGCACGGCCAGTCGGGCGAGGTCGTCGGCCCCGCGACCGAGGGCACACACCAAGGTAACGGCCTGCAATTGCTGTTTCCAGGGAACAAAGGCTTCATAAACTGCTCTCTGACCTGGCTCAGCCGCGAGCAGGCGCCGCCTCTGCCCGGTGGCTTCAGAGTGGGAGAGGAGCTCTACTTTATTGGCGGCGGGTTCGTCGACGAGCAGGGGGACAAGGCCGTGTTTGGCTGCCGAGGATCGGTCACCGGCCCAGCCCGCAACGGCGACGCTGACGCTGTTTCCATGTCTTTCTCCGGCAACCGAGGGGACGTGCATTGCCGGGCCCAAGAGCTCAGCCGCGAGCCGGCGCCCTCGCTTCCTGGCGGCTTCATTCTCGGTGAGCATCTCTACTTTACCGGAGAGAGTCCGATCATCAAGCGCAGACTTCCGCGCACCGACTTCGAGCTCGAGCTTGACATCCTCGTGCGCGGCTCGCGTGGTGAGGTGGTGGGCCTGGGTTTGGAGCCGAACAGCCTCGCGATGCGCTTTTCAAACAAGGCCTGGTGTTCCGAAAACCAACCGGTCAACATCGCCTCCCTAAGCCGCGACAATCCGTGCGCCGTGTCGTCCGTGCCCGAGAATGTATTGCGAGCGCGCCGAGCGCTCGCCGCGCGCAGGGAGGAGCAGGAGCGGGTTACGGCAGCAGCCGCGTCGCAGACGGCAGAGGACATTGCAGCGGAGGCGGAGCGGCGGCAGCAGCTCGCGGCGGAGCTCCTGGAGGAGGAAGCGGCGGCCAAGGCTCCGCCTCCACTTCAGGAGGCGGGAGGGAGGAGGAGGAGGAAGAAGAAGCAGAGCGGCTTTCGCGGGTCGAGGAGCAGCGCAGCCGAAGGAGCAGAGAGATCGGCCGACTGCGACGACTCCACCTCTAGGGGGGCGCCAGCGCGCGAGTCGGCTTCAGAGAGCGACGAGGAGGAGCGCGTGACGCCAGCCGACGAGGCGCGACGGGCGGAGGAGTCGGAGCGGGCGGCGCAGCGAGAGCGGCAGGCGAGGCTGCTCGAGGCAGCGCGGCGGGAGAGGGAGGAGCGTTTGGAGAGGGAGGCTAGGGCCGAGGCCGCGGCCGCGGCTGCGGTGGAGAGCGAGGCTCGCAGCAGGCGACAGCAGGCGGCGCGAGCGGCGGAGGAGGAGCGGAAGCGAGCAGCGCGGGCGGCGCTGGTGGACGAGACGGAGGTGCAGGCGCGGCAGGAGGAGGCGGCGCGGGCCGCGGCACCGCTGAGGACGACGCATGCTGAGCAGTCCAGCATGCGGTCGGCGATCGAGCAGGCGCTCTCCCAGGCTAGGTCAGACGCGGCGGCGGCGAGGGTTCGCGAGGCGACGGCGGGGTCAGAGGCGGAACGGGCGAGGTCAGAGGCAGAACAGGCGAGGTTAGAGGCGGAGGCGGCGAGGGCGAGGGAGGAGGAGGCGAGGGGGCGTGAGGGGGAAGCAAGGGGGCGGGAGGAGGAGGCGAGGACAGAGGCGGAGGCGGCGACGGCACGCGAGGAGGCGCTCACCATGCGACTCGCGGCGCTAGAGCTAGGACCCCCACCGGCCGCCCCGCCACCGGCAACCGCAAACAACGCTGTGGGAGGAGGCGTCGGAGGCACCTTCCACGGCGCCACGCTGCCGCAGAAGGTCTCGCGGATCTGTGCGCATTTGGGGCTGGACGCGCGCTCCTCGCTCTCTGCGGCGGTGGCGGCGGCGAACGAGAGCACAGGGGTCGCCGCTGAGGGAGGGCTTCTGCAGCAGGTGGACCGGCTCAACGCGCTGCTGTTTGAGGCGCCGCGCCAGGCGGGAGTCGCGGTGTAGCAGGTCTAGAGGTTGGTGTTGACTTAAAGATGTTCGAGCCCGCGCAACCCGTACGGAGCTCTATAGTCTATTGACGGACGCGGCCCTCGTCTAGGGTACCATACTTCCGGGCCGGTGTGCGGGGAGCGAACCTTAACGACCGCCCAGAAGCTTTCTGAGCGACCCAATCGGGCCGGGATCATCAGCATATGTCCCCTCCACAACATCGTGGGCGTTTGAGCGGTATTTGAGGAGTACCGCCACTCTGAAGTTCGGCCGGGTGGTCTGCAGACCCCCCCCGACTAGGTCCAGCCCTGGGTGGCGCAGGTTGTGACATTTGGCGATTCCGCGACTTACTGGGCCCCTGAGCCGCTACCCGTGTGCGATATTTTGTGGCCCGGGCATGATACTGATAGTAAACGGGTCAGAACCGGCCAAACACAGGCTACAGCCCCACACACGCGCCCGCCATAGCTCCTGGAGAGCATGCGCGAGTGACGCGCTACAAGCCGCGAGAGTGGCATCAGAGGCAGGAACGACGTGCTCTTGCTGCACCTCGCAGCTGCACCGAGTGTGCTCGCAGTGTATGCCACGGCCACCGCCTGCGGCATTGCTCTCGTGCAGCTAGGCGACGCAGGTCCATCAGCAGGGCTCATCCAATGCGAGCGCACATTGTGCGTAGCCGCAGGCAGGTGGCAGTGCACGGCCGCACACCGGCTGTGGCGGCTCGTATGCCCCCGGCAGTGCTGCTAGTCATTAACTTGCGTATTAGGGCCGCAGCAGACTGCTGCTGTGGCAACAGCAGCAACCTGCTGCTGCCTGATTCAGTAAGGCCAGCGGTGCAGCGAGGCGTGCAGAATTCGCGCGGTTTTGTCCCTCCTGAGGCTGAGCGCATTCGAGCCCGTCGACCGGAGTTGGATGGTACCACGCGTCTCACTGAGACGCGGGGTACTGGCCATGGCCGGACTACGGAGCGTGAGGTGGCGAGCGGAGCGAGCGACAAAACAACGAGAAAAACACGGATCTGACGATTGTCACAGAACGTCAGATCTTGCGCCACCCAGGGCTGGACCTAGTCCCCCCCGGAGCAGCAGAGGCTCCGTGGGGTCGAAAAGTCGACGCTGGGAGTCGCACTCGTCAAGCCATCGCAGCACCACGCGGTCCGCACGTACCGCCCACATCCCCTCCACCGCTGAGAAGGCGCAGATCGACCGCCGGGCCGCGTAGTTGTCGTTAAGGAGCGGTTTTTGGAGCCGTACGAAGAGGTCCCAGACGGGCGAACATGCGGTTTTTCGACGACCACACGCGATGTGGTATCTGCTTTTTGCTAAAAACGGGCCGCCTAGTGCAGCATCACTAGTACAACACGCAACCACACTGAGAGCTCCACACTAGCCGGTATAGGCGAGCCCCGGCGGCCTCACCGTCGCCGCTCGCGGCGGAGCCGACGGCGGAGCCACGGGCCGGTGGGACCTTTTGGGGGCCCATGAGCTCGCCGGGACGTCGCCGATGGCTTGGCGCGCCTCTTCCCGCCAGCGCGGGACGGCCTGCCTACAGGAGGGAGGGGGGGGAGACGGAATTGAGCCCTAGGTTCGTGATCCTGTCGCCGGCAAGGGCTGGGAGAGGGGCGGCAAGCGACGGGCGGGTCCGCGACCTCCACGCGGCGCGACGCGATGGGCATGTCGGCGCTGGAGCACGCGCGATGGTGGATGAGCGGCAGTGCCGAGGGGCACGCTCCCGAGGCGATCGAGGCGCTCCTCTTCTGCCGGACGTATCTTTCAGGTTGGAGGAAGCCGCCACCGACGAGCGGGTTGGACTTTTCACTCCGGACAAAGGCGGCCACGTGCACACGAGCTGCGGTCGTGTACCCGTCATAAAGTTTAAAAGTGACCGTCATAGCGAAAAAGTAGGTGTACCCGTCATACTCTAGCGAAAAAAGTGCGCCGATCAAAGTGCAAGCACTGGCCCGGTGCACGTGGGTGAGCAGCCTGCCCCTCCCTCCGTCAGGTCACAGGTGTCATGTGAGCGTACGCACTACGGTCGTTAGAACCAAAAAGGAAAAATATCGTTAAGCAATTCGTTGTGTGCAAAAGATCGCAAGGGCGGGGGCCTGTTCCTTTTTACCCATCTCACAGTAGAGAGGTGTCCGTTTTTATTTATTTATTTGTGTGCAAAACGAAGAGTGTGATTCGCTGTGATTCCAGAGGCTACGCATCTATCTCCGTGGGGCTCCTGCCCGTGTCCCGGGCGTGGAGATGCGAGGGTCGCCCCCCCTTGCCCCACCACTTTGTGTGTGTGGAGACGTTTACCTTACCTTACCTTATCGTTATCTCTCTGGACTCGGCCACTCCCGGCTGCCACGACCTCCGGCGTCGGTCAAAAGAGTACTCATGACACTCAGTCGATCCTTCAAGAGCCCGCGGCGAGCGCAAAATCGCACTCGAACTGCTCGCGGTCGCGCTTTCGCGCCGCGCCGTCCGGGCCGTAAGAGCCAAGCCGTATCTGGGCCCGCTCCAGCCAACCGAGCAGGCCGGGGCGGCAGCGCTTGTGCGCGAGCACACCTTGCCAGAGGTGGCGGAGCCGCATGCGGGCGGGCGGGAGGCGGAGGACGGTGGTGGTGGAGGGGAAGGCGCCGATGCCAATCGAGGCGGTGGTTGGCACGATGACGCGTTTGAGGGAGGAGCAGCGGAAGAAGGCGTCCTCACCAACAGATAAGAGGCCGGCAGGGAGGGCGACGGTGGTGAGGGAGGGACAGAAGGCAAAGGCGCCTCGGCCGATGGACACGAGGCTTTCAGGGAGAGCGATGGACTTGAGCGAGGTGGCGAGGAAGGCGCGTTCACCGATGGACTTGAGCGAGGCGCAATCGAGTGCGATGCAGGCGAGACAGCCGCAGCGCGCAAAGGCGTTCGCCGCGATGGAGGGCAGGGAGCTCGGAAAGTCGACAGAGACGAGGGCGGGAGTCTTCCCGCGACGGTATACCCACTCCTCCTTCGATCCGTCCGCGCAGAGGCGCGCGCGCCGACTGCGTCCATCCGCTTGCATTGCCTGTGAGCGGGCAAGCGGATGACGCTAAGAGCTAGCGAGCGGCGGCGCAGAGAAGCAGGTGAGGGTGGCGTCGAGAGCGGCGAGGAAGTGGCCGGAGGCGTGGGATTTTCGCCGGCGAGGGAGCCGCCAGTTGGCCGGCGGCGAAGGGGAGCCTTGTTGCTGCACGCCGCCCCGGCGGCGATTGCGATAGGAATCCTACACGCCACAGAAAATAAAAAATAAAAGCCTGCGCATGGGTACAATGGAGGAAATTTAAGTTCCCCGCTTTACTCAGGGTCGCACTCCTTGCAGGCCCAGACGCACTCTCCTACGTGTGTTAGATCGAACATGTGATCGCACAAGTACTGGTGGTCGTAGGTGCAGTGGAAGCGACATGGCTCTCTCTGCTCCCAGCCAGGGATGAGCGGCGTGAGATCGCGGTGAGATGCGTGGAAGGTGTCCTCGAGCTCGAGACACTGCCCGCAGTCCTCGCAGATGGACTTGACGACGAGCACATGCGCGCTCGCGACAGCCATCTGCGGCGTGGACATGAGCCGCTCCACGTCCGCCGGGGTCAGATCGGTCCGGCCCACGCTAGACGTTCTGTTGCCGTCCCAAACTGTCACTCCCCTTTCTCCCGGCCGGGGCGGGGCGCGCGCGGGGGCGGCGGGTGTGCGGCGAGTGTGCGGGATGTATGTGGGCCCGAGAGCGATATGCCATGTCCGCCTTGCGTTGTTTCATAACATCGAAGGCTAAGCTCAAAAATCATTTAGTCGGCGGACTTGTAGGTCGTGAATGAGCTTGGCCAGCGGCGGGGTGGGCGGGTGCACGGAGCCAAGTGCCTCGCCGTCCTCGCGGGAGTCGCTTAGGCGGCTCCAGTGGTGTACCTGTGTTAGGCGCTGGCGCTTTCCTTGGCGGCGTTGGGAAAGGGATCTACCGTACCGCATACCGCTTCACCATGCTGCACTCGGGGCACAACCACTCGAATGCCGTGCCAGTGCGCTTCACAGGGCATGACTCCCCTGCCCTACGCCACGTCGCAACCAACCGCTTCTTGGCCTGCGAAGATCCGCTGACACTGCAACCGCCACCAATACTGAGCGGGTGGAGTGGGTTCAGGAAGCGGCCAGATGGTCTTCTCGAGTGTCGCAGCCCGTGGACCCTCGGGAGATGGCGCCGCCTCTATGTACGCATGCCCGGCCGTAAGCTCGCGTGGACAGTTGGATTCGACGCGGAACAGAACCTCCCTGTCACGCTGCAAGACGGACACCTGCGATTTGGTAGCGCCTCCTGCGTCGTTGGGATTGAGGCGGGCGGGCGAGATCCCGATGTGTATGTGCGCGGCCACGCCGTTGGCGGGAAACGCGCCGCGACTTGCGTGACTGCGGCATCGGATTTCGCACTTACCTATTTGCGAGATGTGCCTACGTTGAACAGCATCGCCAGCAGCAGCAACACGCACGCCGACAGCAGCTTTCTCGCTAGTGTTGTGAGCTCGAGCGGAACGATGCTCTCTGTGCGAGGCGTTCCAATCCTCCGCACGTATGGCGCTCGGATGGACACCTTTGTCGTCGCGGAGAGATCCGAGCAGTCGTTGGCCGCATTGGTTGAGCACGGCTGTGAGGTCGTGCTCTCCGGCTCGAGCACGGCCGTCGACCGATGGGCGTGCGCCAGTATCGGCCGCGATAGTGCTGGCAAGGCGCAGCCCTACAGCACACAGCGCAGCGTCGCCGTGCTGGTTCGTGGGTGCGACGGCAGAGAGCGGAGTGGCTGCTGCCGTATTATGGCATTTCTCGACGCTGTCGACATGAGCGGGTACGACTGGGTCTCCTTCAACGACGACGACGTCTACGTGCCGCCCTGCCTGGCCTCATTCCTGCCCTCGTCTGCGTCGCCCCTCTATGCACCCGCCAAGCACGTCGGCGTGGGTGGCGGGTGGCGATGGAGCCTGTGCGGCGATCGAGGGCGGCCTCACACTGAGATTGCGTTGCCGGCCGGGTACGGGATCGCAAACAAGGGTTTTGTGCGCCTTCTGCATCGGGACAGCCGCCAGACGGCCCGCCAGTGCGCGAGCGCGGGCTATTTCATTGACGTGGCAATCTCCTTTGCGTCGTGGAGAGCAGCCGTTGCACTCACACCGCTGCTGGACTGGACGGACCCCCGCGTCACGTGGGCAGGCGGCCAGCGGCGGCTGTGGACCAACACGAGCCTCATTTATCACAAAGTGCGCAGCCCGTACGACTTCTACCTCCTCGACGCACGCACGTCATGCGCTGCACCGGCGAGGGCGGCCGCACTCGCGAAGGAGCGGGTGCAACAGCCGGGGTATGCGCGCACAGCACATGCGAAGGGCGGCTCCGATTCCTCTGCATCACCGTTCCTCTGCGACGGCCCTGAGCAGAGCACGGCACGGGGGGGGCGCTCCGTCCAGTCGGTCCGCCGTAGCCATGTCACCCGGGTGCGTAAGCCCCGCGATGAGCTGAGTGCGCCAGTTCGCTGGCGCGCTGCACTTCCTACTCGGTAAACTTCTCCACACACACAAGGTGGTGTGGCAAGGGGGGGCGACCCTCGCGTCTCCACGTCTAGACGACAAAAGCCCCACGGCATTACAAGTGCAAGGCCCAGTGCGCGTGGGTGAGCGGTGGTCCGTGGGCGAGGTGGTGGAGGTGATGCAGCGCGCCGTCGCCCTCCGGAGCCAAACATAGCGGCGGAGATGGCATGGGAGAGTACGGGTGTTCCAGGGGGTCACGGCACGCACACCGACCCTTCACGAACCGAATACCGATCGGTTCGTAAAAAAAAAGTGTGTTAAGAATCTTAGTGTGTTAAGAATGTGAGAGAGATGTGTTTGTTGTTGTGGATGCGGCTTGCGGGATCAGTGTGAGCCAGAGTGGAACTTACTTTCCAGCGGCGCTCGCGCCTGCGGCGAGGTAAGGTAAGGTAAGGTAAGGTAATTCTTCTCCACACACAGCCTCTTCTTTGTTCGAATGTTTTTCAGTCCATCCTTCACGAAGCCCTCCCATGTAGCTAGCGTTCTTGGCGAATGTCTCGAAGTGGCCAGCAGGCGCTGTCTGCTCGCGGCCTGTGCGGGCCGCTCGTCCTCCTCGCCCTTCTTTTGTCCTCCCGTCCCTCCCCTCCACCATGGCCTCCTCGGCACTTCTTTCTCCATCCGCCTCGCCCTGCCTTTTCGTATCGTGCCGTTCGCCCTCCATTCGGTGACCTCCATGGCTGTCCGCCTCCTTTTGGGTGGCGCTCTCGATACCGTTGCGTCAACCTCGACGTCGCTGTCGCCCTCCCCGTCCCCGTCCCCTGGCTCCGTCGTCCGTGCCTCGGTTCGCGTCATCGGTAGCGTCTCCGTTGTTCCCTCGTGCTCCGCCGTCGCCCTCTCTGCTCGGGCCGTTCGCGATTTCGCTCCTCCTGCGTGTCACCCCTCCGTCTCCTCCCCTGCCTTCGTCGTCAACCCGCCTGCTGCCTCTGCCTCTCTCAGCCACATGCGACCCCTCCGCCAATGCACACCTCAAACGCGACGTCAGATCCCGCTGCGACTGGCAGCATTCGCGGCGATGAGGCCTCCGCCAGCACTGATCATCACAAGTCGTCTGTTAAGCTACACGTTTTTGCCCTGTGCAGGTGAGCGGACCGCTGCAGCCATGGTGGAGCCGCGGGTCGGGTGAGGGAATGGCCTTTTGGCGCGGCGCTGCTATGTGCCTGCGCGCTCATGGCGCGTTCAGGGGTGCGCCTGCGGTGTGTAGACTGCGGGGCGCCGCGATAGCGCGGCGCCGACGATTGTGTCGCTCATTGTCACACCGTCGACACGGTCACAGTGTGTGTGCAGTGCGTCCACTCCGGCGACCGTGACGCCGTCGGCGCTCGCCTATACCGGCTAGTGTGGAGCTCTCAGTGTGGTTGCGTGTTTTACTAGTGATGCTGCACTAGGCGGCCCGTTTTTAGCAAAAAGCAGATACCACATCGCGCGTGGTCATCGAAAAACCGCATGTTCGCCCGTCTGGGACCTCTTCGTACGGCTCCAAAAACCGCTCCTTAACGACGACTACGCGGCCCGGCGGTCGATCAGCGCCTTCTCAGCGGTGGAGGGGATGTGGTAGGTACGTGCGGACCGCGTGGTGCTGCGATGGCTTGACGAGTGCGACTCCCAGCGTCGACTTTTCGACCCCACGGAGCCTCTGCTGCTCCGGGGGGGGGGGTCTGCAGACCACCCGGCCGAACTTCAGAGTCGCGGTGCTCCTCAAATACCGCTCAAACGCCCACGATGTTGTGGAGGGGACATATGATGATGATCCTGGCCCGATTGGTTCGCTCAGAAAGCTTCTGGGCGGTCGTTAAGGTTCGCTCCCCGCACACCGGCCCGGAAGTATGGTACCCTAGATGAGGCTGCGGAGGTGACGCCTGAGGTACCGGCCCGTACACAGCGACTCAGCCAGCGACCGCCATGGGCTCAGACGAGATTTGTCGACTCGTTCCGGCTCAGCTTCACCGTGGTCCCTCGGGCGTCTGTCGACGTCAGGGCCACCCATTACAGCTCGCGGGTTTGAGGTCGCAAGAGCCAAGATGGTGGCGTTTGGACATCCCAACCATCACACAAGACAGCCTGTGGAGGTGATGGCGGGACGGCGCAGTGTTTGTGGCACTCGGCAGTAGGCACCCGCACGGCCCCGCTGTCGGCTCTCGCGGGCTGTGCGGAACCGCGCAACCGGCCCCAGAGGGGGGAGACGGGGGGTCCGGGCGAGTGTGTGGCACTGGCAGCTCCTGCGCTAGTATGGGCACCCTCGATCACAACACTACTGATCCTGGTCATTAGAGCTGCCAGGGATAGCGTCAGGAGCCGGTAGGAGAGTCAAAACCCCTCATATTTGAGAGACACGCAGACACCGTGTCCCAGTGTCCCATATACTCGTGCAACAACCGGACTCTCTTAGTTTGCGCGCGAGCTCTTGTGCGTTTGCACAGAGTTGGCGCCCACAACTCCGCCAAACCCTTGCGCACAAGACGTGCGCCAGACCCACCAATGCGGCTGGCGCCCTGCCCACGCTGGCGGCACGAGTGCGGCTTGGGAGCGCAACCGCAAGCGTCCGTGGCCTTTAAGTTTCCCTTTCGCCCTTCTCATCACTGCCCCGCCCCCGGCGCCCACGCCTCGATCTTCTTGGGCAGCAGCTGGTCCGACAGGTCCTCTCCGTCGCCTAGGCAGCCGTGTTCGCCCTTGCCCCAGGTGAAGACGGCGCCGTCGGCGGTGAGGGCGAGGCTGTGGCTGGTTCCAGCCGAGACAGCGACGACGCGCCGGCCAGCAAAGGCCTCGACCTTCTTCGGCAGGAGCTGGCGCTGCGCGTCGCCGTGGCCCAACTTGCCATCGCGTCCACTGCCCCAGCTCCAGACGGCGCCGTCGGCGGTGAGGGCGAGGTTGTGGCGGGCCCCAGCCGACACACCGATGGCGCGCTGCCCCGCCAACGCCTCGATCTTCCTGGGCAGCAGCTGATCCTGCTCGTTGCCGTGGCCAAGCCGGCCAACACGTCCAAAACCCCAGCTCCAGACGGCGCCATCGGCGGTAATAGCGAGGCTGTGGGCGCCTCCAGCCGACACGGCGACAACGCGCTGGCCAGCCAAGGCCTCAACCTTCTTTGGCAGCAGCTGGTCCTGCTGGTTGCCGTGGCCCAGCTGGCCAACGAGTCCCCAGCCCCAGCTCCAGACAACGCCGTCGGCGGTGAGGGCGAGGTTGTGCATGTCTCCAGCCGAGACAGCGACGACGCGCTGGCCAGCAAAGGCCTCGACCTTCTTGGGCAGCAGCTGCTCCTGCTGCTCGCCGCCGTGGCCCAGCAGGCCACAGGCTCCATAGCCCCAGCTCAAAACGGCGCCGTCGGCGGTGAGGACGAGGCTGTGGCAGCCTCCAGCCGAGACAGTGACGACGCGCCGCCCAGCGAAGGCCTCGACCTTCTTCGGCAGCAGTTGGTGCTCCCAGTCGCCGTGGCCCAGCTGGCCGTTGCGTCCACCGCCCCAGCTCCAGACAGCGCCGCCGGCGGTGAGGGCGAGGCTGTGGCACTCTCCAACCGACACGCTCACGGCACGCTCGTCGCCCAGCGTAGAGGAGAGGCGGGTCGGTGTGTTGAGCCGCGTCACGCCCTCGCCGTGGCCGAGTAGCTCTGGGCGGAACCACGGCGCAGAGCCGCACGACGAGAGCCGCCCCTCGCTGTCGATGAAGACGCTGTGCCGTTCGCCTGCCGCCACCCTCGCCGGCGGGTTGGCCTCGCGCAGCAGCGCAGAACAGCACAGCCACCGCACGGCGCAGCCCTCGCCCTCCGGCTGCGCCGGCAGCTCGAAGCCGCGCTCTCGCGCCCACAAGCGGATGCCCTCCGCCGCGAGCGAGGCGTGGAAGAGGAGGGACACGGCCGCGACGCGAGCGATGTCGACGGGGTCGCAGCGAGAAGTGACGCGCGCGAGAAGCTCAAGGGGCAGGTCGGTGAGGGGGTATTGTGCGGCGGCGGCGGCGAGGCGGCGTGAACGACGCCGGGACATCGAGAAAAAGAATTCGCACGAGAATTCCCTTCCTCTAGTGTCCAGTCTGAGCCCGACTGTTGTTCATCTTTCTACATACATACATCCTCTAGTGTGCCCTCGCGCACATCTCATGCGCTCTTACTCAGCCTCCGCTGCTGTGAATACCAAACTTGCACTTAGGATACCCATCACTGAGCCGACACCAATCCTCGCTAACCAACGCGGCCTGTCCTTGCGCGGCACCTGTCAAGGAGTGAGGCGGGATGACTGTCTTGTGAGTCTGTGTGGTGGTGGTGGTGGCAGTGTGCCGTCCTGCTCTCCCATCTCCCCGCCGGTTCACTCGCACGCGCCTAGCGCCAGGGAGCGGCTCTCTCGGCGGCGCGGCCCTCTCACTAGCTCTAGGTCGTGCCGTTGGAGGCCCGGAGCCGCGGCGGCGAGTCGCGCATTTCGTCGCCGGCGCGCGCGCCGGCTGTGAACACCCCCACCGGAGTAACCTGTGCCGTCACCGACAATTTTATATTCAAACTCGGTCATATACCCCCCCGACCCATGTCAAGGACGACGACAGCTTTCCTTGCGACCACTCCGCTATGCAGCCGGCAGCAATCGACGAGCCACGGCCCAACCGCGCCAGCCGCTCCTCCCAGCTGAGTCGCAAGAGCACGGTGCCCGCCATCGGCCGCATGATGTCGGACGTGCTCGAGCCGGTCGTCTCCTTCCTCGACATCACGCGTGCCTCGGCGCCGGGCGAAATTGTGCTGGGCGATGAGGAGAAGGGAGGCGAGCCGGTCAAGATTGTGGGCGCTTCCTTGGTGTCGAGCGTGATCAACCTCGTGCACACCGTCGCCGGCACTGGCATCCTCGGCCTGCCGTTCGCCTTCTCCAAAATCGGGCTGGCGACGGGCACCCTCTTTCTGCTGCTGGGCGCGCTCTCCTCGGTGTGTTCCTTCTACGTGCTCGCGCAATCGGCACTCAAGACGCGCATCAGCACCTTCACCGGCCTCGGTGACGCGCTCCGACCCGGCTTCTCGGTGGTCGTAAACTTCTTCATTATCTGCAACTGCCTCGGCGGCGTGATAAGCTACCTCGTGGTCGCGTCCACCGCCTTTGAGTTCAGCTTCGGCGCGTCGCGCGCGCTATGGGTGGGTGTCGCCACCGCCCTTGCGACGCCGCTCGTGCTGCTCGACCGCATGGACTCGCTGCGCGTCACTTCCGCCCTCGGCATCGCCGTCCTAGTTGCGTTTGGCGGCTTTGTCGCGGTGTCGTACTTCGAGCCTTTCGACATGGTCTCGCCGTGTGGCAGGGTGGGCGACGACTCGTGCAAGGGCGACGTGGTCGCCCTCGCGCCGAGCGGGTGGGAGGTCTTCCTCTCCGAGTTCAACGTCTTCCTCTTCGCCTACTGCGGCCAGACCTCGCTGCTTCCCATCATCCACGAGCTGCACGACCCGTCGCCGCGGCGGGTGGTCACGGTGCTGGTCACGGCGGTGCTTGGGGTGCTGCTGCCCATGTACGGCCTCTTCACCTACTTCGGATACCTCTCCTTTGGCGCCAACGTCCACCCCGACATCCTCGACAGCTACCCGCAGAACGGCGTCGTCACCCTCTTCCGCGTCGGCCTCGGCGCCGCGGTCATCACAAACATCCCGCTGCTCACCTTCGCGGTGCGCAAGGCGCTCATGGGGATGATCGACCAGGCCTGCGGCTCGCTCTGCCGCCCCGACCCCTCCAAGGACGTCGCCATCGCCCCCTCCTCGCTCGACACCCTCCCGGCCGCCGCGAGCCGCTGCGAGCGCTTCCGCGCCATCTGGATCCGCAACCCGCTCGAGTTTGCGCTCGCGCTGGTGCTCATCGCCGCCTGCGCCGGTGCCGCGCTGCTCACCGACAACCTCGGCCTCGTGCAGAGCGTCGCGGGCGCGGTCGGCGCGGTGGCGATGACGTTCCTCCTGCCCGGCCTCTTCTACTTTGCATTCTTCCGCGAGGCTGGATGCACGGCCGTCCGCGTCGGCTCGCTCGGCATGCTCGTATTGGGCATGGTGCTCCTCCCGCTGTCGCTCGCGCTCGTCTTCCTCTGAGAGGCTGCTCGCTGCACTTCTCTGGCGTGGAGGTGTGATATTTGCTGGCGCCGGCGAGAGCGGTCACGACGCGGTCCGCCCCCTCGCGCGTTATTGAACACTTGCATTACGGCTTTAATTGTGCCTCGTGTTGTCTAGTGATTGGCGGCCTTGCCGCTCCCCCTGTACTGTGTTGTGCGTAGCGTGATCGTGTCGTGTTGCGACTGGGGCGGAAGTGGGAAATCCTGGGAAGAGAGTCCCAAGAGAGAGAGTGTACGGCTAGGATCGGCTTTATTTGTAGAGAGACAAGGCCGAAGGTACGGTAGTCTAGACGTTGAGTGGCGAGGTCGCCCCCCCCCGGTTGCCCCAGCCACCCCGCCAACTTGTGTGTGGGGGAATTACCTTCCCTTCCCCTCCCTTACTCACGACAGGTGCAACCGGCGAGCACCTCATCCCCGAGCGGCCGCGGTGACCGAGAGCCGCA